TTAGATTGAATTGCAAAACTTGATCAAGCTCAATACCACTAATCCAGGCAGTATTTTTACTGAAATTTTCAAGATCGACGTATCTCTAGACGTATCCAGAATTCTTCATATTTTTCAACATTTCAAATCACAGAGAATTTTATCTGACTCTAAAATACCACGCTATAGTATATATGCTGAAAAATTGAAATCGTATGGGTTGTAAGAACTGGAAAAGTACAATTTTGTTCAGTATGATTAACAAAGTAATTGCACAGATTTTTCATATCCGACTACAGAAATCAGTTTTTCTTCATTACTACTGAAATCAGTTCTTCTACAGTACTACTGAAATCACTAGCATACGCAAAAGAAAGTAAGATTCAGAATCGATCAAATATGCATATATAACAATTAATTAACACTTTCTGAATTATCATCGAGCAATCTAACGAGTTACTCTTTCTTCTTTTATATCAACTTTCTGCAAGATTTCCACATACTCTCGCTTAGCGGTATATAATTCAACAGCTGTTGAATACAAAAGTATTCTATATAAATTGAACAGCGATCCACATGTCTTCTTTGCCTTATCTTACTATATAACACCAAAATTTTTTATATTTCGATCACAAACAAAATAATTTTGTTATAGAAATATATTGATTTAGATTAGAGATGATATACTTTAATCTATTATCATCATCGACACTCTCAACGGCCCCTCAACTTGCGTCAGATTTTAATAAATCACTAACAGATCTCTCCAGCGGTTGAGTCTCCCCACCACTGTGATGACAATGGCCATCAGTCCTATTAGGGACCCGTTTAAACTTTGAATATCCCTAAATTAAGTAAAGTTTCTAGATTAACATTCATATGCTTGAATCTAGTGGAACTCATTCAATGCTTAAACTTCCTTTTAAACCAAGAATTCACTGCTCGTTTTGTCTAATATGTAAAAGATGAGATGTAAACATATGTAATGTAAAAAATAATATTTAAAAAAAAAGATAATTCAATTTGTATAAAAATAGTAAAAATCAATAAAATATTTTATAATGTTTATAAACAATTTTGTTTACATTTTCTGAGAAATTGTTTTGCTTAAAGTTTTTGTCATGACTTGCGAATTAATGTTTTTCAACAGCTCTTCAGTAGTTAAGTACAGAGCATGTGGGAATTAATTTTTAATTCACTTTTTTATATGAAATATTTTTTTTTAATTATTTATTATATCACAGAAATAAATTATATGTTAAATAAAATTTTATGCATTTTATTGTGATAATATTATTAAATAATTGCATATTTTCCTATACTACTGATTCACTTAATTTGCATCAAAACAATTCAATTTTTTTCGATTTCTTCAAATTAATGTTGCTAATGAGGTTTTATATTAAGATTGTTGTCTTATTTTGTTAATAATATTTTGCAATACTTCACAAAATCACACGTTACCTAAACTCGTTTGAGTTAAAAGTCTTGTGATTAAATGAATGGCTTTAAAAAATTAGTAATTTCAAAGACGGATTTTTATTGCTACTGAATGTGAATTTTAATAAATAAAATATCATGCATATAATATTGTCATTAAAATGAACATAAATGAAATTAACAAAAAAAATATTAAATATGATGTGGATATAAAACCTTTTATATTAAACAAAATATTTGCATTACTTTAAAAAGTGCATTGAAATAAATAATTCCTTGTAATTATTTTATAAAGGTCATGGCATGATATTCCTTATTTCAGGTTTTAATTAATGAATTAATTAAGTTGAGAACAGATACTTAGTATGTAAGCACGAACCAATTTAATTTCTTGATGCAAAAAAAAAATTGTACTTAATAATCTAATATGCGACATAACGAAACATTATACTAAACAATAGTTTAAAGTTAATATTTAAACAGTGATTTCTCTCTTAATTACGAGTATCTTAATCGAAAATCTCTCTTAATTAATATTTTAATGCAATTGTTGGTGTTCTGAAAGACCAAAAATTACTCAAACCAAACCAAACTTAAAAGAATAAATTTTTCTGATGAAACTACCCAACATAAACGGGGATGACGACATTTAACTGGGATAACGCAAACGTCTAATGGAACGAAATTCGAATGAGTTGATAAATAAAATAGTTAAATCGGCGCAAGATCAATATGGTATAGATTTGATAAGAATAATTAACAATAGTTATAAATGTTGACAAGATAATTTCTAACATTAAATGAAATTTGTAGAAGCTGTCATGATGAGAAGTATAAATCCAGCATATACTATAACACTCCTTTCCTCTGTGTGCGATAAGATTTAGATCAGTGTTTCTCAAAGAAAATATCCAATATTTTTTGCAAGGATCGTTACCGATATTCTCCCAAAAAATTATATCACAAAACACGAAAATTAATTTATTACTTTAAATGCTCACGAAAAGATAATTTAAAATATGTTAAAAGATCTAAGATTTTTTGAAATTACTCTTGCAGACCAACATCAATCTGTGGAACAGTGGTTAAGTTACCTTAGTTTGGATTATTAGCCAACAAATGTTATATTCATAAATCATATTTAAACTCTTTAAGATTTTTATTAAGAGAGTTTAATGATTTTTATTAAAAAAAATTATGAGAGTACAGCGCAAACTGTCAATTCTGATAACCACTGCCATATTATCACCAATTTTATTGGCATGCAATTAAAGACATGGATATGGAAGATATAAGGCTTAAAATATAATTTTGAATGAGCAAATTATAGCTAAACTATTGCCAGCTAAACAACAACAGGTCAGCGAAAATCACGTTAAAAGCATCTAATACTGTAAAGTAATCTATGGGAACATTTAACTGATTATTCACACCTAATAGCAAAGCTGCCAACACTACTATCCAGAAGCCGCAAAAAGTTGCTCAAAGTCAAGCTTTGAGGGACAGAGCCCTGAACCTATTCACGAAAACCGACAGACTGCTCTATTTAGCACTATCTAATCTGAGAATTATCTCTAGCCGCAAGGGGCGATACGCAGATCTTAGATCAGTCATCGAATAATCACAAAGCTTTTAAAAAATGCATAAATTAGTCAATAAGTACGGTAGGACTCTGCAGAAACGCCCCAGCTATCAAAAGTGCCCAGATGCACTAACTCGGAAAAGGCTCAACATGAACCTAATAGCAATATCTAAACAATATATTGAAATAAATTCGAATAGAGAATTTCTACTCGAATTTCAATCACCAGAAAGTTTGATTTAGGTTTGTTTGCGGAATATATAGCCGCATATATATATATACTATATATAGTATAGTAATATCCTGAAGTGTTTGTTGTAACTTTAATAAATAATAATTGTAATAAAACTTATTTATATAATTGTATATATGATTTTGTTCTGGCAAACAGCTGTTGGTTTAAGATCGTAGCTAAAATATATGTAGAATGTGAATGAATTCTAGTACTTTTAATAAAAATAAAAAAAACTACTACTACTACAATTTGTTTTATTTATTATTAATAGAGGATGTGGCACTGCGAACATCGGTTCTTTTTCGCCCCACATTTTATTTTATTAAGTAATATATTTTATTTTAATTTAGTTTTTTATGTAATTTTAAATATTTTGTGCAATTATTTTACATTACTTTGTGCATTTTCATTTTAAGTGCTGTTAGCGAGCAGTTTTTTAATATATATATATATAATATACATATATTTTTAATATATATCAATGATTACATTCGAACAAAGTTGATTACAGGCTAAATGTGCGAGTGAAGTGAAATGGAAATTCAATAAATGCAGTTATTTCATTTTCAATATATAACTTAATTTTAATAAATAATATGAAAACTGATTATTGATGTTATTAATCATTGCATGTCAAATAAAAGAACATGATAAATATAAGTGACAGTAAATGAGTTGATATACATTAAATTTATTTACTACTATTAAATTTATTTATTACTTTATTTTATTTTAAATTTATTTTATTTTATTATATTTTATTTTATTGTAAGTTTATTTTATTTTCTATTTTATTTATTATTTATTTTCTATTATTGTCTATTTTATTTTATTTGATTTTATTTTATTTTAAGTTTATTTTATTTTATATTATTTTATTTGATTTCATTTTAAGTTTATTTTATTTTCTATTTTATTTATTATTTATTTTCTATTATTATATCTTTTATTTTATTTAATTTTATTTGATTTTATTTTATTTTAAGTTTATTTTATTTTATATTATATTATTTTATTTGATTTTATTTTAAGTTTATTTTATTTTTTTTATTTTGTTTTATTTTATTTTATTTTAATTTTATTTTATTTTGTTTTATTTTATTTTATTTTATTTTATTTTAATTTATTTTATTTTATTTTATTTTATTTTGTTTTGTTTCATTTTATTTTATTTTATTTTATTTTATTTTATTTTATTTTATATTATATTTTATTATATTATTTTATTTTATTTTATTTTATTTTCTTTTTATTTTATTTTATTTTATTTTAATTATTTTATTTTATTTTATTTTATTTTATTTTATTTTATTTTAATTTTATTTTATTTTATTTTATTTTATTTTATTTTATTTTATTTTATTTTTTTTATATTATTTTATTTTATTTTATTTTATTTATTTTATTTTATTTTATTTTATTTTATTTTATTTTATTTTATTTTATTTTATTTTACTTTTTTTTATTTTATTTTATTTTATTTTATTTTATATTATTTTATTTTATTTTATTTTATTTTATTCTATTTTATGTACACATCACTTTTGAAAAACAATTTGCATAATCGTGTTTGAAAATAATGTACTTTTCATTAACATTTTTAATCATTAATTAGCATTATACTAACTTAAACATATTTGCTAAATACTAAAAGGTATTTCGTTTCAGTTTTCATGCATTTATTCATACTCTATACTCTCATTAATTAAACGCCTACTGAGCATTTTCATTCCATAAAATTCTTAGTTGATTAAAGTAAATTACCCTTCATATTTATCCAAATTTGTGGCCATTGTTAGCCCACAAAAGACCAATATTAGCAGCATTGTACCGAGTTTAAACCACATTTCAAAATTTTTTTTTTTTTTTGTATTTAAATACAATATAGAAAATGAATGTATCTTATGCAATTATAAAAAAAAAGATAAAAAAAATTGTATATGCTTATGTGCAATATTCGTTCTAATAAACACTGTTGCTTTTAGCACATTTGTAATAAATATTTAACACTTTAAAATATTTAAATTCAACCAAAATGACAATGAAAAATATTTTACAATTGTATTTTTATTAGAAATAAAAAAATTTAAAACCACAAAGAACAATTTTTGCCACACTTTACTGTTGCAATCTTTCAAGATTCTTCAGACGCTTCTGGTGGCGAGAAAAACTTCATTGTTTCTCATCGATGATTGCATGAGGCGGAACACAATTCTTACAAAAAAAAAAAAATTGCACTGCACGACTTTACTAACTTTAATCAGATTTTTCTTTTATTTTTTATTATATTAGCAACAAACTCCCAAATAAAATTGTTTTACCAATTAAATTTATTCGAAAACACAAACGTATGGAGGAGCGATTTTTCGGAATGCTTGATTGATTCCGTCCGTAACGTTTTCGGTTTTGTTGCAGACTGACAAGCTGCTTGAATCTTGGCTTAGCAAGAAGACGATACCCGAAATGAAGAAATGAACAGTAGAATTGATCGAATCAACTTGATATTATTAATAATATTTTTTTATAGAAAAAAGTGAGTGTCAAGGTTAAAAGATATGTTGAGCGTTCTGTGGCACGAGTTTCTACGCATACTGCGGATGTTACGAGTATTTACTTTAAAGTTTAAACACAGCCGATCTACAGCAAACGCAAGCGCGGTCAATGAGCGATCTTCAAAGTTTTAAAAGCTCAACAGCTCAACAGCCCAACATATCAGCAGCTTAACTTTATTTAGTTATTTATTTTTATTTATTTATATTTTTTTTAATTTTTTTTTTAATATTTTTTTTTTTTTGTAATACATTTTTTATTGTTATTTGTTAAATAAACACGAGAACTTGGTAAAAGCACTAATAACTTTTTTAGAGATTTTTTGACTGTTGCCAGCAGCATTTGATAAAACGCACCGGTCCGGACCGGACAAGTGTCTGCATTTACCTCATTTAGTCACGTTTATTCTAAATCTAAATTTTTGACTTTTAATTTTGGGAATTGACAAATATTGCGGTTTTCTGATTACGATTTCATTATACAATTTCAAATGTTTAATATATTTTTTTTTAATTTTTTTTATATCATTTCTGTGCTGACCGATTTCATAGCAAATATGATTTTTTTTTTTTTGTTTATTCGATTAAATACTTTGTGGTTTTTTAAAACTAGTTTTCCTTTTTCATTAGTAACATTATCGATTTCAATAATGTTTTTATAATAATTTATAATTTTTTTTTAATTTTAAGAACTAGAATCTCATTAATATTTATAAATATTTGTGAAATCTGATTTTTATCAATTTAAATCTGCTTAAATAAATTCAATATTAGGCCGGATACTTTTATATCTGTTTATTTAATTATACAATATATGACAAAATTAAAAAATATTTAAATAAACAAATCAGTAAAAAGAATTAAACGATTGGCACAGTTTAGATTTCCCGTGTGCCGCAAAAATTTTATTAAATTTCAATAGTCTGAGAAATTTTTTTAATACTCTTATATCGATATAAGCGTAGTACTACGCTCAGAAAAATAATTTGGTTGATTTAAACAAATTTTAACTAAATCTCAGGTCATACTCCACGCATCATGTTGGTTAAGCCATACCACATCTTGGTTTTCATATCTTCTTTACCACATAAGGTAAAATTTTTCTAACAAAATGATTAAGTCAACTTAACTAGTATGTGATTAGAGCATATTTTTCTAAGTGTATATATTTTGGACTTTAAACTTGCAAATTTTTATATATACAAAATAACAACCCGATATATAAAAGACCAAACTATATCGGCTTATTATGTACAAGAAAAAGGTTGAATATTTTGATTATGTGAATTCATTTCAATAAAACCTAATATTTTATATAAAAAAATATATCATTATTCAGAATGTAATAAACGGGTAAATAACCCATTAGAAATTACAATTATTTCCCACCTTTCAGATAATCTTGAGGAGCAAATTGTCGATCAGTCGGTCAATGCTTTGCTATTTGACGTGGATAATTGTTTTTGTATTTGTTTTGGGATATCGTAGTATAAGCCTAAGTTCAGGGTATACCTCAAGGTATACAACACCTTTTAATAATAGGAATTTGTAGTGAGACCAATCTATTAATAATTAAATAAATCGGTACGGTAAAAAAGTCACTGATATTCTATCAAAATTTCATTAAAAATAGGGAAAAAAGAAATGGTATTATTACATATAGTGACATTTTGTCGGTGTGTGTACATGTTCATGATTCGCTTTCCGAAAACGCCAACAGATAGCCAATTTAAAAAAAAATCTCTTTATTTTGTATAATGCAACTAATACATCTATTTCTCAACACTTGACATTATGTGAAGCAAAAATCTTTTTCTTGCTTACCTTTCGAATAACAATACATAAGTCATTAAACTATGTTTAATATCTGTATCTTTCAATTGATATGGTATTCAAAATTGTTTACCTCGTATACTTTTCTTATCGCGTGTAAGAGTTTGAAAGTATTCGAGTCAACATCTATATGACTTAAAAGAAATAAAAAAGATACATATTATATATAATTATATTTACGTTATATATGTATTATTTATAATAAATAAATTATAATAATATTTGTTCCGCATATAATATTGGACACCTGTAGGCAAAAAAATCCATGAAACGATTTCTCTCTTAGAATGCCCGGTTTTGGCGTTCAAAAGAGATAGGCTTTCAGTGAGGTATTTCTTTCACAGCTTTTCAGAATCTTTACCGGTAAAGATGAAAGACCAATTAAATTACCTAAATTCGACGGAATAGAGTTAGTCTGTTTTCTTCTTTCTTAAAGGTTTAAAAGGTTTTGGCTTTCAAAAGAAACAGGTTTTTAGAGAAATATTTCTTTGACAGCTTTGAGAATCTTTACCGGTAAAGATGAAAGACCTATTAAATTATCTAAATTCGACGGAATAGAGTTAGCATATTTTCTTCTATCTTAGGGGTTCTTGTGACAACTGCTTTTTTGACGAAAAATCGCTTATTGAAGTACATAGAAAGTTATATAATGGCCTGTCACTCCAACCAACCAACCAACTATTCCGCTTATATTCGATAATAAATATTCTTTATTCAAGTGATAAAACCAGCGAATACAGAACTATTATATTTACACATAAACAAAATTTCAACTCTCTATATCCTACATCCAAAACTTTATAAGGTATTATTTAGAATATTGGTTCCCCAACCGGTGATCAGCGAGAAATGATGGTTAAAAATCATCCGTGAATCAAATTTAACAGGTATGTTTACATAGCATGTTGTTTGTCCACTAAAACCTCACTTATTAGAAAATAAGCACAAAAAGTTTCTGAGTAATTATACACCTATTTCATAAGCTAAATAATGTACCTATGTATTATTACAATTCATTATACAATTACACCAGAAATGCATAAAGTATATTAAAATAATCATACAGTTTATTATTCTTAAACTTTGTGGTCCCTACTAAAAATAAAAATATCATATTAGTCATTGGTCAAAAAAAGTTTGGAAACCATTGATTTGGAAATTAAAATTTTTTTGATTAAAATTTTTCTTCAAAGGTAGTTTTCTTGGACTTCGTTAATATAGGTTAATTTTAAAAATACGTTATCCTTGTCTATATAATGTTTTTCATTTCAATGACAAAAAATATTCTTTTGTATATGGGTAAAGTCTGCAGAAGCCCATGCATGTATTTCCTCCCTTTAATGTGTGACAAACATATGGTAATACAGAAAAACAGGGCCCATGATGCTAAAGCACCTGTTAAATATCTTAGAAAGCTCTTGTTTCGATGTGTCTAACAACCTCTTTAACGCAAGAATGGCAGAGCTATCTCACGCCAGACTTGTAAAACGAATTAAAATAACAATGAAAATTAAATCAAGCATATTTTAATATAATACCCTTACTCTCTTATACTCTTTTTTATATAAAAAATTTGATCCTACTTCTAGCTACGCCTATGGTTTTGTATATGACATAATGCAATTTTACGCTTACAAAAAAAAGTATCTTTTCCCGAAATAAATTTTTTAGACTATTGAACTCTGTGTTATCATAATCAAGATAATAATATTAATGCCAATTCTCTACTCTTTTTTTAAAGTTCAAGTTTAGACTTCTAGACTCCGTATTCATCATAATATACAGAAATATCTGTGTGGCACTTTGATATGCATCTTCTTTAAAAGCTAATTAGTAATTAGTAATTAAACTTACTATTTTTTAATGTTTTTTTTTATTGTTTTTTATTTTCAACCCAAAAGTTAAAAAAATACTCAATCTAAGTTAAAATATTAAGAAGAAATAAAAACTAATTCAGTTTAACAAATAATACTAAACCATTTGCATATAATTTGTTACCAAAAATCTAAAGTCACATTTCCTAGAATAGAAAAAAAAAACTATTTCTTTAACTAAAAATTATCTTTAAATTTTTACAACAAAAATTGAATCAATAAATAATCATAAAATATTTAATGATTGGAGTTCATTGATTGCTGAAATATGATAAATGATACTCTAAATGCCAAAAAATATATGTAATTAAGTAATTATATGGAAATTAATAACAGATATTATATTTTAGTTTAAATTTATCTCCTTGAATTAAGACAATTGTGAACATTTTCATTTCTATATATGTAGGTATATACCTAAGCCCTTGAGGCCCAATCACAAATCACCATCGAAAATCAATTAAATATTTTCATCTGCAAACAGCGCGTGGCTGAGCCAAACTAGTTTTTTAGAATAAAAATTTTAAAAATCTGTTCATTTGAATAAATTATTTTTTAATACATTTTTAATAATATTCTTTCTTAATTTACCATATTTAAAATTAATTAA